TTTCTGCAACTATCTGTTACAGAACAGAACAATAAGCTTAATTTATAAATTAATGACATGAAAATAATAGTTTGTAGAGGACTCCTAATGGAGAAACGTAGTCATTAAGTATGAAAAAAATTCTGATTTGAACTATTAAAAATCTAATTCATATACCTAGGTAGTTTCTCCGAATTATTTAAAAGCAAAGATAAAATGAAAAGCTTTGTGATAATCCAAGTAGGTAACTCACAACCTAGTTAATGGAATGCAAAGGGTAGAGGTATCATGTTACCTAATTTTTACATGTTCTTATAATGTAGATGTATTTATATTTATAAGACCAACGTTTTCTTTAAAAGAATTGACTTACTTAACTAGTTTAAAAATGTTAAAGATTGTTGATATTTTCAAGCTTTATAATAGAATATAGAATATTTATTATAGTTATTAGAATTAATAGAATTACCGAACCTTAATTTATTTTAAATAATGAAAAAGAAATACTAACCTTAATTTCAATACCAGCATCTCTTATATCACATATAAGGTTATTGTATTTAAGTTTTTCTTTATCATTATTTTGATCAAAACTAATAAGTAACGCTTTCAAGTTGTCAACAAGATTGAATTGTACTTTTTGTTTTGGTACGTTATTCAACTGTGTGTTACGCTTTTTCAATATTGAAGGGGTACTTGTGCTGGGTGGTCTTGAGTTATGTGAACTAGTTTTAGTAGTTCGATACGATGACATAGTTACCTGAAAAATTAAGTTGTAAAAGAACTTGAAAAAACTAAAAATATAAAATAATATTTGAGTACATTAAGTATGACCTTAATTTTCCCAGAGTAAATAAATATACTAAACGACACTACAACATATTATATCATATGCAAATAACATTTATTTGTGGTTTTCCGATACTCATAAAATGATCATATATATAAGAAAATTAAGGTATTAGGTAAAATTTGAAAAAGACGTCAAAACGATGGCTGTGGTACGTTTCTATTTCTTATACTCGTGTAAATTTACCCGAACACCATATAATATTTTTTGGTTAAATAGTTGGGCATTGTCTTTTTCAAGTGTTATTTAATAACTTTTTTCTTGTAAATTCTTACTTTACCATATTGTTGTGCAATTTAATCAGCATCGATTTATTTGGGAAACTACGGAACGCGTTTGATCGCATTTAACCAGATTTCCGACATTTAAGTCTCAAAAGCAAGTGACGGTCTCGGTGAAATACCGACACATCTATTCCACACCAAAAGCCGTTGGCATAAGGCCATATCCCGTATTACAATACTATGTACAGGTACACCGGTCACCGGGTAATCGTAGGTAGTCGACAAACCACATGGCGAGCGCCGCTGAATTATCACTACCTTTGCGAAATAATATTATTAACGTGTTCATCATACCCTTTTGTCAAGCCAACTCGGAAACTATCATCCACGGTGACATCCGGCGATCGAGATCAGACTTTAGACCGACGTCCGGGACTTATAACGAGCGATTAATAATGCGATTTTCCGAATTCTCGCACTGCTGGCAATAACCACAAAACAGAGTGCAGTAGACACAGCTGGAGGGGCAGGTGGTGGAAGGCAGAGACGCAATACGTCTGTTGTAAACCGTCTGGCAGTGACGCAGTGGGAAGGGGTCGAGGACGTGATACGACGTCGTGGCGTCGTGCAATAATTCTCAGTTCCGGCCACGGACTAAGATATACAGGACTGGACACGACAAGGTTGGAGGGTGTGGGGGGGTTGACTACGAAATGTTTTACAACAGGCAGTGTTCGGGGGGATATTTTCCTTTTAGCATTACTAGCGCCGTCCTAGTGGATACTTATGGAACTAGAACACATCATACAAATTTCTAGTTCCATAAGTATCCACTAAGACGGCGCTAGTAATGCTAAAAGGAAAATATCCCCCCCGAACTCCGCCTGTTGTAAAACATTTCGTAACCACAATATTCATCTCGTGTCCAGTCCTGTATATCTTAGTCCGTGGTTCCGGCACTGATATCTTACAGACACGCACTCATAACCGTGCTAAAAAAGCACTGCGTTCACTTTCGGAACCCATGGACACCACCGCCGTATTATAGTAAGTAGTTGAACGTACGAGTGTACGACGATAGATTAATCCAGAGTTTAATACTTTAATCTATGCCGCCGTAGCACTGTAGCAATGCTCGCAGTCTAGCCACGAGCAGCGGATGAAAAATGTTCATAGTCACGCGTACGGTTGGTGCGTCTGATCCAAACGATTTGGTCGTAAAGCCCGCGCGAGTCATATCGTACGCGTCATACACACTGCGCGTTTTCGAATAATTTTTTGACTATTTTTCTCAATCTATTAATACGTCTGAATCTGGATTTGTACCTTCTTGTTTTAACTTCTATGTCTAATTTGTATTCATCATATTACAAAGTAATAAATCTTGCAGATTTAAAAAATATTACTTCTACTAGTGGCAGCAGGTCACTGCTAACAAATTAACATACACACTACGTACCAGTACTCAGTAGTCATATAAATATATAATTTTACTCAAAGATTATTATTTCATTTGGTCATTATACCTAACAAGAATATTTGTACATACACGGGTTGACGGACCACATCACATATAATTTGAATTTTGAAGTAACATTTTAACAGGCATTAAAAACACAAAATTTGTTACCACTATTAAATGTATAAAATGTTATAACTGAATAATTTAATTTTCAATACCTATTGCTTACCCGTTACCATTGATAGTATACAATTATTTAATAACTATAGTTATAGAGACTCCTAAATCATTATATTAATAGCACAATTATAATATGAGATATACCTACTGCAGATATGCTAGCGAAGCCTCTTGAAATATCTAGCTAATGAATAAAATTGTGCATAATATGTATTTTTGATATTTTTAAATCGATAAATTATAAGTACAACAAATTATGAATATTGTTTTAAATTTTATAACTTGTTGACCCAGCATTAATAGCTTTTTAAGTGCACAATAAAGCCAAAATATTTTTAAAATTATATTTGTAGAGTATATTGGAGTTATTCTATACAACTAAGTCTATATTAATTTCCCATAAGGACTTTTACCCTGAGCTATACGGAATTTTACCCCATGCATGGGGTAAGATTCCCAATATTTATTGATGTGTAAACATCTATGCTATCGGTTTGTAGTACGACCTTCTTGGGGAATCGAGCGTCAGGCGTAAGTCATGTAGATCGTAGATGTGACTGCTTGAGTGTGCGTGTGTGTCGGCGCCATGGCGCTAAAATCGCAGAACCAATAAACTAGGCGAGTTGCTTATCTATTATTTTCTTTGTTATTTTCACGAGTCTGGTAGGTGCGAACGCGCTCTGGTACAGTCGTCGGCCGACTCATTTATTATTATTAATATTATTTATTATTCTCGTTTATGTATACCCGCGAAACCATGTTTGTATCGTATAATATGTATTATACAAATTCCCACTCAAACCATGACATTATATTCCCCAATCAAAGTCGTACTACAGCTAAGATGTTTACACATCATTCGTGAGTACAAAGGCACTCACATTTTCGTATAAAATGATATGATATCATTGAATTCAAATTTAAAACAACCCATTATACAGTTACCAACTTGTAACCTACTGTGCAGCAGAGCGACATCCACTTTTTTTTTTTAATTTTTGTAAATAATTATTTAAAGGTATATAATAAAAAAGTTTAATCTTTAAATTGACATTCTTTATATACGTTTATCTTTTGAAAAAATATCACTTGAGATCATATTAAAATTGTTATCATATTACAAAAACTAAATAAATAGAAAACGCGCACTTTTACCCCAGGCTACTCTATAGGCAAGCATGTCTAGGAATTGCTAGTATTTAGTTAAATCATTTAAATCATTTTTGAGCTATAACAAAAAACTTAATTGCATTTGACAAAAACTAGTCTTGAGTAAATATTCCCGTTTATCCTTAATTTTTTTTTGTTTCTCGATTATTTTATAAATTACGTACTCAGCCCTTTTGACTCTTCAATGCCCCAAAGTACCAACTAGATCGGTTTTACCAGAAACAACACATCAAATTTTCCAGGGTAAAAGGCTCTCGTTACTTCCAAACTGTTCATATAAGTACCATTTATTAAATATACAATCAATATATATAGCATATTTAATCAATGTAAGTACCTACGTACTTGTGAGGACTCAAATGTTTTTTTAAAATAAACACTCCGTCTAACAGTTTTCCATAACAGTAGGTACATAATTTATATCACTAATTGCTTATAATATTTTGGTTTGGATTTTAAATTTAAGAGATTGTTTTGACATTTTTATATCTAGGCATTTACTCGCTTTAAAAATGTATTATAAATATTAATTAATAAAAATTAAAATAGATCATCAAATAAGCTTTAATCTTGTATAAAGTTCTATAACCGCCGTTAACATTTTTCTGTTGTAACAATTCAATCAAAATTAAAATGTATTTTTAAATTTTGTGAACATGAGATCATGCCAGCCTGTCATCACAAATTATTTGAACACTCTTTAACTGGCTAACTTTACACCAAGCTATCGCCTATATACGTAATTCATGTTCGTGTAATCTTAAAACGCAATATTGTATTTTTACACTACTATATAATAATATTATACAATATGGGTTGATATGGTCACAGGAACTCACAAAATTTTAATGAGACATTTAAATGTTCAAAAGTACCTATTATATTATATTTATATATGTCTAAGTTCTATAATATGAATTTGTTTTAATATTAATATAACTCATAAAAGTTAAATTATGTTTAGTTTATTGTTCGCAATACTACATAACATAGTAGGTACACAACTCGTAAATATAATATTATAATATACTAAGTTAAACGATATCTGCGTGTTAGGTGTACAATAAATAAAATGTTAAATGTATTGCCGAAACAACGATTGAGCGTTTTCCGCGGCGCAGCGGCTGCCCCGGACTCACGCCTTGCGTTTGACGTTGTACTTTTCGAGCGCGCCCATCACAAACTCGCTGACAAAGTCGTCCTGTGACTCGGACGTGGACTCGCCCTTGTGGTGGTGGCCGCCGAACACGAGTCTCAGGTACGGTAGCACCGCGCATACCGCCGACACGATGGACACGAGACCGGCCACGGCCACGGAGGCCACGGCGCCGAGCACGGTCACCAGAGCGCCCAGCAGTGCAATCTTGACGAGTTTCTTGAGGTTCACCGACTTGAATTTGCCGATCACGAAACTGGCGATGGCGCCGATGATCTTCTTCGGCGCGCTGACCGCTTCGAGCAGTCCGGATAGCCCCAATTCCAGTAGGGCGCCGCCGCCACTGCCACCCTCGCTCTCACCCTCGTCATGTGACGACGATACCTCCGACATGAACACGATCTTGTCAGGCTTGATGTGCTTCTTGTGCACCACTACGTTGCTGGCGTCCGCGGCCGGTTCCTGCGGCCGGTGTTCGGCTGGTATGCTGACGGCCAGCGACGCCGACACGGCCATCGCTGCGATCAACAACGTCACCGTGTATCTGCGAGGGCATTGATTTTGTTTTATTATTTGTCATATTTTCACCATTGTTTGTTTTTTTTTTTTGTAATATTATCATCATTGAAGGCATAAGCCTTTTAAACAAACTCTGATTCAGGGGCGTAATTAGGGGGGGATTAGGGGGATAGATCCCCCCAAAACTTTTTTTTTACTGCTAACATTTTGATAAAAGTGTTGATAATGACCATTCATGTTTGCTAAAAACGTATATCCCCCCAACCAAATTCCTAATTACGCCACTGCTCTGATTATATTAAAGGAAAATAACATGATAAAACTATAAATAATAAGCAAGAAATAATACATTTAAAATGAGTATACAAATAATAAGAAATAATATCTGAATAATTAGTAGGTATTCTGGTATTCAAATATATTTTAATCAAAATTATTAATTAGTTATGTACATTTATCAAAGCTATTAATCAAGGCATTTATTAAAGTTATGTACATGTATGTATTTTTATGTTGGGGGTTGAAGCAGATATTCAAAATAAGTGATAATTGACATATTGCCGGTCAATATATTATTACATGAAAATAACCTACTGCAACAATTTGTTTTCAAATAATAAATAAAAAAAATGAAATCTGGTTTAACTTAAGTGTATTTTTATGTATACGAAGACCAATTATTAAAAATAAAATTTCCCAACAGATGACAACATAATCTGATATTATATCTTATCAGTTAATTTACGACTATAATTTGCGTCTATACATTTAAAACTTGACGTTTTGCGTTTACGGATATTCTATATCATATTAGAAGGGTACTTCAATTTTTAAAAGTTTTAAGATATACATATGTTTGATACGTTCTACTATATCATACTAAGTGGTTTAGTGTGGCACTGTGTTTGCATTCAGTCACAAATATGCTCTGAATGTACGCACCAGCCGGTGTCACTAAATCCCGGATGGGTGACCACCCGGGAACTTTAGTGACAAATCCTTCCCACACATACACACACGTGTTCAAACCAACAGTACCCCACAGAAACAGACCATAATAACCTCAGTTTTCGAATCCTTAATTTTTATTAAGCCTTAATATAATATATATACTGTAAGATAATATTTAGTACCTAATAAAAGGACTAGTTAAAAACATTAAACAATAATAATATTTAAATAATATAAGTATATACCCAGGTAGGTACATAATATATATTAATATAGTATATAATGATTAGGTAACAAAATGGAATGTTCTAAGAGGCATTTTAGTGGTAAACGATTTAAGTAGTAAACTACTATGGAAATATATTACAAAAGTTTTAGTATGATTTCTAATTTAGAAGTCAATATGTTAGTTTTCGTTTTTTTTTTATTTGTTAAAAATCTCAAAAATATCCGATTTAGGTACATTTGAGTTGAATCAATGATAGCAAATTAGCTAAGTATCGTATCGTCTAATTTTTTAAAACAAATAACACTCACTTGAACATAATGATGGTCTCTTCGATCGTTTCAGTTGGAGTCTCTGGCTATAGTGGTGGCGTTCGAGTATAGAAGATGTTCGAATGAGTGACAAGTGAAGTGTGCGTTTTCGACCTGAGCTCTGAACATTATATAGGTAGCGCGTAAGCCTTAAAGGTGTCAATTTGAAATCATAATGCCCGTACCAGTGGTTTTCAAGATCCCCGTGATATTTGGTAACTGGTAAAATAAATTGTCCACAACTCGATCGTTTATATCGCATTAACGAGGAATTCGCACACGATTAACATAAACACATTCTGGTGCAATGTTTGTTATAGTTGGTAATGATGGTAAATGTTGTCATATACGATTTCACTATTATTTAATTCGATGCCTATTACAACAGGCAAGAGTTGAAACCAACATATATTTCATCGGATTACTAATATTACTATTATAGTAAAAATATTTAAAATAGGTATTTTTATTTTCTAAATGACCACGCGTGAACATCATATTATTGAAACAAATTGTACATTATTATTGTACTATATTCGTATACATTTTTATGTCACTTCCTGTATATAGTGTAATGGGTAATTTTAAGGAAAATTTAAGCAATTCGGGGAACGACCCATTTCACTGCTTGCCAGATGCAACATAACATTTTAATATCTTTGTACAGAAACGAACAATTATTATACTCGGTTATAATTCCAGTGTTATTTAAATTATTTTCGTTATTATATTTTATTAAATTTTATGGCTAGCTGATCCATCGACACGGCGTTTCCCACTACAAATTAAACGCCAGTGGATTTACTCTGTCTTCAACTCCGTTAAAATCTAAACTACCTATACACATAATTTTGATACTGTAATTTTTGGTGGCTTTGACCTAGGAGAAAATACTGGCCTGTCTAAAACTATATACAATTTATTATTATAACTGTTTTATTTTCCGTAACCAATGACATAACCCTTTAGAAACAAAAAACATCCGTTTTTCGTAAAACAAGACATCTATCTCTGTGTGAGCCCATCTTAAAATTAAAAACTTAAAGGTGTACATCTTCGGGTACTTAAAGGATTGAATATGCATCAAATTTCAAAACCACCGGAGCATATGCTACAGTGATCGCTTCCCAAATACACAAATATTGCCTTTAATTAATATAGATTTTAGATAATGTTACTAGACATAAAAATTACAAACGTGATTTCTGATTATCTTAAAATATTGTTATTCCAAGATAAAGATAAAATAATTTTGGTATAGTTTATGAGGGCTGTAATATTCTATTATATAATACTACAATTTTGACGAATAAAAATAGAAAAAAATTATTTTTTAAATTATTTTTCAACGATAATAACAAAAGTTCATATTAACGAACTTTTCAACGAAAATAAAATATTACTTATTTATTTTAGTACATAAAAAGTAGACTAGTGAATTGACTGAAAAAATTATATGAAGTAAAATTGTCGGGGTCATAAAAAGTTATCAGCTTAATGCGTTTCCTGTTTCACAAAATGTATGTCATGGGTATGTCAAAACTCAAAATGAATACCTAATAAATAATTGTATACAATTATATTTATGATTGATAAATATGTATTCAGGATTTGTTAAATATTTGAAATATTTTTAATTTAATAATCTTTTCATTTGTTTGCATAACGAGTGAAACCTCTACAATATTCATCGAATCCTGAATTTATATAATATATATATATATATATATATGTAATTGTAAATAATGTGATTGTACTATGTATACAGAAACTTACCCGGGGGACGAGGTGGCCGAGCGGTCTAACGCGTCGGCTGCGGCGCTGGCAGTCGCGGGTTCGATTCTCGACCACCGGGCGGCATTTTTCTCCGGGCAAGTCACGGTGTCCGGAAAACAAGTGCCGCCATCTCCCGACTCCGGGGCATGGCAGAAACCTACGGGTGCCCCAATAAAAATTCTGCCACCACAAACACACGTGTTTACAAACCAACAGTTCCCTCCCCTACAAACTAACAAAACAGCTAATGGCCATAGTTGCCGGGCTTAATGATCAATGAAAAAAAAAAAAAGAAAAGAAACTTAAGTTATTACTTAAGTAATTACCTTTGACTATGTTCAATTTTTAATTTCTAGTGAAGAATACTGTAACAATTTTCATGTTAAGTGTTAATTTAATTAAGTAAACAATTCAAAAAATATTTAACCGTGTTAAAGTAAACAACCGCCAAGCATAATAATTAGTGTTTGAACATAATACTATCCTTAATTAATTTAAAAGTACCCCAACGCTCCACCGCTCCATTACTCCATTTCATGTCCCTTTTTGTTTCACCAACTACTTACTAAAAGAGCCTTTAAGGCGTATGATGCATAATGCCAATCTGGACCCCACTTTCTCTTTTAGTTAGCTCTGTCATATTTATTATTATTGAAATGCATATGTATATTTTTAATATTATTGTTATTAATATTATTATTTTTTGTAATTTATTTTTTTTTTTTTTTTTCTCTCTTCCATCTTCTATTTACTTTTCTTTCTTTGTAAACCATATTATTATCAGTTTTTTCTATGTAAAAAAAGGGCCTAGCCCGTATATTCCAATAAATAAATAAATAAATAAATAAATAAATAAATAATTTAATGAAATATTTCAATACCTATTTATTTTGTTGTTTTTTTTTTCAAATAAGTTTAAATTTTCATTTTTTACTAACATTGTTCATTAGTGATTATTTTCTTCAATATCATTATGATAAAAGTATTTAAAATGTTTTATATCGATAAAAAATATATTATTAAAAGTCAAATGTAACGAATAATAATTATATTAGGTATATTATATATTACTATTAAGTTATAGACGTTATAGTAAGCATTTATATTAGATTATACACGTAGGTAGTCAAATTATTTCCTAATAGGAATATAGCTTACATTAACAAATATTTACCTATAACTAATTAATTATTATATTATATAGTGATCTATATTTTCAAAATCAATTAACATATATTATTAATACATTGTTAGATATTACTATACAAGTTATACCTTATGATATAGTTATATGTATAAATATATTAATACATTTTGATAAAACAAATTATAATATCATAGAGAATGTAAAAATAATCAATAATAATAATTAATTGAAACTTTGATTAGAAACTTTCACAATTTCACATGTAATAATCGTAATTGTAATTGTATATATTAATACAAACAAAACATTTCCAAAATGTCAATATTTACTAGGTTAGTAATGAAAAGTCGTGTTTCATACGCCTTTCAGGGCGAAATATTAAGGGGAGAGGATGAGCGGATTAATCCCCCTAGAACCTATTTATATAACATATACAATATACATTATACAATTATTAGAATTATTAGAATTTCTTTATAATCAGTACAAAAAAAAAAACCAAATAATATTATGTACATTATATTGTATAAATATATACAAACAAAATAAATTTAATATATGGAACACAATCTCTTTTTTTTTTTTTTAAAACATAATGTATTTCAACGAGTTAAGAACGATGGTGTAAAAAAATTAGTGGAAATCATTATTTTGGAAGTTATATCCTTCCAAAGTTTGCAATTTTAAGATTACACGCATTCGACAATACTCATTTACTGTCGAGGGCAGTAGAACGATTTTTTTAAGTATTTTAACGAGTTAAGATTTAAGAATGATGGTGAAATCACAATTTGCACAATCAGAGAGTCATATTATTTCTATAACTCATTAAATTAGGATATTATAAACAAAATATACAAATCTCTGACTTAATCAAAATATTATTTATTTACACATCGTAATAAGTACTATGACTATTTTGTTTTAACGTACCTATGTAGTTAAGCATGCAAAAACGATGATGAAGTCCGAGTTTGTAGCTGAGAATTTGTTTTAAAGCTATAGATAGATGAAACATAATATATAGAACTTTGAATTTTCATAATTAAAATCGAAAACATCTTTCAACTTGTTTTCGTATAGAATTTTTTTTTGCACCATCGTTCTTAATTTGTTGACATACGTATGTTTTAAAAAAAATACAGGGTAGCTTAAGTGAATTTATACCAAATATATTATAATTTATAACATTGTATCGGAACTTTATTAATTTAGTGTATAGGTAGCAGTCCTGTAAAGTATTTGAGTAAAAGTATTTGAGTAAAAGTATTCAAATACTTTTTTAAGTATTGAATAACTTTTTAAATACTTTCAGCATGAAGTATTTTGAATGGTATTTTAAATACTTTTTTTTGTATTAAATACTTTTTGGTATTGAATACTTTGGTTTTTTATTTCGAACATTTTATTTTTATTCGAAATAATTTTAGAAATTTTAGAATGAATTAAGAACACAAAATAGGTAGTATCACCAATGGGTGGTTTCTTCCCTCAAAAAAAAATCATACGCAAATACCCTATGCACATTTGCTTATTGTTCTAGTTAAGAACAGATTGTAAATTTCTTGTAAAAATAAAAAAAAAAATGTAATAAACATTTATTTAATAAATAATAAATAAAAATGATTATAAATTTACTACCTATGTGTCTATATTACAATAATTAGAAACCCACTTTAAAAACCAAAAGTTTTTGAAAAGTATTCCAAATACTTTTTCAAAGTATTTGAGTAGTATTTGAAATACTATACAATTAAAGTATTTGAGTAGTATCTTAAATACTTTTAAAAAAATGTATTTGAGTACTTACTCAAGTACTTTTCAAAAGTATTCTTTACAGGACTGATAGGTAGGTATATTAGTTTTAGGATTTTTAATAAAATAGTACCTCTTTCCAGCTACCACTCACCACTGTACTTGAAATTTTAGTATTTTGTATATTTATTTAGTATTTTGGGTGTAAAAAATCCTCTATCCCCCCAAGACAAATTCATAATTACGCCACTGAGTCACCTTTTACAAAATTTTGATTTTGAAAGGGCATGAGTGTCGTGCGAATTTCTAAACGAGAATTTTAAATTCATG